GCAACATAAACTAAGAGCACCAAAGGTCATCATAAAGAAAAAAAATCATACCTCTTATATACTTGAGAGGAAGTATCTCTTTGATTGCAATAGCATCCAATAGGGGCCCACAAGTGGGGTCCTCCTGAACCCCACTGTTGTGGAATGTCACCTTAACAACCTTGGAAGTAGCCCTAAAAGCCCAAGCGTAAGTGTCTCCCCCATCACTGCTATACAGGGTTTGAAGGGAGAGGTTAGCAGACTGGCCAGGTATTGAAATCCTAAGCACCTCATCTTGGGCACAAGTCCTTGTAGCACCAAAGGTTAGTGAGTAGACTGAACCTTGGGTAACAACCACATCCTGAGAAATGGAGGCCTCATTGCCAAGCCTAACTGCATGGACCCCACGTGGCACAGGGAAGAAGAAGCCACCTGGCTGAGGCCCACCTTTGATGTACTCCACCAAGCCGCTGATCTCCCATTTTGGGAGTGAGTACTTCCCAATGATCACTGTTTTCTTCAAGTTTGAAGGCTTGGGTGCTTCTTCAAAGTGCCCATTTGGGAGTTCCCCTGAAAACAGAGATGAAATTTATGAAATTTGAACTCACGACCTCCTCCGATAAAACGGAGACCGAAAATCACAAGACCAAAGGCTAGTTGGTAAACATATATCAGTTTAGAATCTGAAAACATTTTGCCAAGGCAACATTTCGCATAGCATTTCAAAGTTGAAACCCACATAATCTTAAATGCTAAGAACGCTTCCTATAATTAAAGATTGTAAAATAAAAAGACATAGGAAATGTGTGCAAAAATAAGCAAAACGAAACAAATGTTTACCATCAAGAGGTGCAGCAGCAGCGGCGGCAGCAGAAGCATAACCAGCGCAGAGAGAGAAAAAGGTGAGGAAGCAAAGCAAGAGAGAAAAAGGCGCCATATTGTTTTGCAGTGGAAGGAGGAGCTAGAAAGACCCTTATATATAAAAACAAAGCGAACAGCCCCAAGTGGGAAATTTAAAATGCAAGTCCCTGTAACTATACGTATTATTTAATTTCGAGTCTTTTTTAATTATGATTTAATTTAAAGTTGGAAAACGTATAGAAAATAAGATAAGCAAACAGCCTATCCCATGTTAACAGGGGCACCAAATTAGCCGCGAGATGCGTCTTCGCCATATTGTTCTGCAGTGGAAGGAGGAGCTAGAAAGACCCTTATATATAAAAACAAAGCGAGCAGCCCCAAGTGGGAAATTAAAAATGCAAGTCCCTGTAACTATACATATTATTTAATTTCGAGCCTTATTTAATTATGATTTAATTTAAAGTTGGAAAACATATGGAAAATAAGATAAGCAAACAGCCTATCCCATGTTAACAGGGGCACCAAATTAGCCGCGAGATGCGTCTTTTTGTCTATGATTTTTTCCATCTTACTTTGACACAACTAATTAGTCTGTTGGTATTTGTCTTTGTTCCGTTGAAGAAGTTTGACTCACATGAATTTCGAAATTGATATATATTTATACTTAATTTGTTGTAATAAGTATAAATGTGTATTAGTCCGTTCTAGAAAGTCCTGTAAAAAAATCTTCTTTTTCAACAGGGTTCTCAATGTGCGTAGGTCTTTTCCTGTTGGAGGAGCCCACATGATATTTTATTGGTTGCCGTGATTTGCTCCTTTTGGAAAATGGAAAAATGAGTCAATTGGACCGTTTGGCAATTCCAAGATTATTGTTTATGCAATAGAGCCGGATGATCTGCCACATGTTGTTGTGACTGAAAAGGAAGGATCGCCTTAGATTTGAATTTAGATTTGATGAAGTTTAAGTCTTGTGCACGGAAGATGTACATGTTTTGTACTGAATTTGACTTTGATCTAAAGGCCATGTGCTAAGCTTTACTGTCCCCCTTGAACTTGAAGAAATTGGGATTGGATAAAATTGAGAGAGTAAAAAGCAAAGGATAAAAATAAAGTGGGGATTGGAGATCCATGATTTTTCATCAAAGTAAACTTAAAAAGGAATTGTCTTGTTACTTCTCACTTTCTTTTGGTTGGAATTAAGATGAAAATGAGTCAATTGGACCGTTTGGCAATTCCAAGATTATTGTTTATGCAATAGAGCCGGATGATATGCCACATGTTGTTGTGACTGAAAAGGAAGTATCGCCTTAGATTTGAATTTAGATTTGATGAAGTTTAAGTCTTGTGCACGGAAGATGTACATGTTTTGTACTGAATTTGACTTTCATCTAAAGGCCATGTGCTAAGCTTTGCTGTCCCCCTTAAACTTGAAGAAATTGGGATTGGATAAAATTGAGAGAGTAAAAAGTAAAGGATAAAAATAAAGTGGGGATTGGATATCCATGATTTTTCATCAAAAGTAAAGTTAAAAAGGAATTGTCTTGTTACTTCTCACTTCCTTTTGGTTGGAATTAAGATTATTCCTTTTGGACTAATTTGTGGACTACTCAGTGCACCCTAATCGTGGTTGTTGAGTTTTTAGATGAAATAGGGCATGTTTGTTTACTAGGAATGGGGAGAAGTCATGAATTGGGGCTATCAAGAAATGCTGTGAAAATTTTGCCTCTTGTGATTGGCGGTGGATCCCTCGCCAGGCCAATGGGGCTGCTGACGCCATTGCGGCTATCGCTAGACGGAAGAAGTGCGACAAGGTCTGGCTTAACAGACCCCCTTCTTCCCTTGTGTTTGTTCTACAATCTGATGGTCTACACCTTGCCCTCCATGCTAGTTGCTCTTTATGGTTGGAGGCTGACATGTAAGACATCGATATGTCTTGACACACTAAGTTGGTCTTATGATCGTACTGAGTTTCTAGAGTTTGATATTGATCAAGAGTTTATAATCAATCTAATCTGCTACTCTTATAAGAATAAGTGTTTTAAAGTAAATCACTAGAGTTAGAAGATGCATAAATGGCCAACTTTTGTCCCTATTGCATTGCTCTTGGTAGATGCTAGTAAAGTAATGCATGCTTGGACAATTGAGTGCAAACATACATCGTCTGTACCCCACTTGAAATGGGTTGGTAACATTACAATGTTCGAAATCTTCCTTGCTAACTTTAACCAAGTTAGGTATTCCTTCTTTATTGTTGAAATCTACAAAGAAAACAATCATTCTAAAGATTAATTAATTACAAAAACCCAAATGGGATTTTGAATGGTACAAACAGTGAATATGTAAAAAATGCTTCAAGTGGAGGTGGTAGGGTTCATGGTTTGCTTTAGGGTTCAAGTTATGTTGGGTTTGTGGTATTTGTTTGGACTTACAGTTAATTATGGTGATGTGGGCTAATAGTTTTAGTGCGGCTTTTGCCCGCTTTAGTTTTGTTTTTAACTTATTAGTTTGTTGCCCTTTTGGAGTTGATGCTTTAGATGTCATGTTGATGTCTTTGGTTATACTCTTGAAGTTTATCTAATGAAGTAAATTTCTCTTTGATAAAATATATATATATTAATCAACCAAAAAAGGCATAAAGTATTCTAAACATTCTGTATATAATAAAGAAAATGAAAGATTAAGAAAGTATGATGAATTGATTAGACGGATCAAACATTCCTTTCTTCAGTAATAACAAAGCTAATTTGTTTGCTTAGAGCTAGGGAAGTTCACCTAGTATATCCGAAACAAAAAATTTATGTTGTGAAGCCCAACGAGAATAAATGTCCCAAGAAAAGAAAGTGTCTGGAAGTACATTCCAACCGAAGTCACCTCCTACTGCATATACCGTAGGTTCTAGATAGGCAACATTACCACTAGTATAAAAAGTATCAACATTTCCGTAGGTTCTAGTATAGGCAACATTATGTTGAAAATTTACAATGCCAGATCTCAAACTCAGGACCAATTGAGTGGAGACAAAACTCCTTACCACTACACTAATAGGGCACCCGCATTTAAAATTCTGGTAATTAAGTGAGGTTTCCTAACGTGTTTGTAGGATACCACTTTAACAATTTAGTGGATGCATGAACTTCCATTTCACTTAGATTAGTATATTTCATGCAATTTTGGCTTTTAGGATGATTCAAGGTATATTTACTTTTGTTGTCCCTCGCCCCACCTAAAAAGATACAATTTTATAATAGTTTACAAGTCAATAGCCCAAGTTGCGATGTAATGTCTAGAAAACCCCAACATTCAAGAGTGGTCAAGCCCATGTTAGGAACGGCCCAATGACCAATGACTTTAGTCTTTAAAATTGTTTTTAATATAACTAATATTAAGGGAGAAGGAATCCAAACTAGGAACTGAAATGCAGGCGTAAATGCTCTTTTTTTTAAGGACCTTTCTTATCTAGAGGGTTGATAATATACTCAACTTATACACACTACACAGATGCTAGGATTCGAACCCAGAACCTTGCATAGGAGAGCAATTGTTCCAAATCAGTACATATGGGTCATTTACTAGGGGTAAATGCTCTTAACCAATAAAGAATATCATCAGTACATCATTAAAATCTTTATTGGATTATTTAGGGCATTATTCTTTCTTTTTGTCAAAGGATAAGAATTTTATTAAAGGCGAATAGAAACTTAAATAACCAACTAGGTGCAAGCAAATTCTATCTATGAAGACCTCAATGTCAGGTAATAACTGAGGCAACTGTGTGTGTCGCTCCATTTGGATGATCATAGAGGCTAGACATACTAAAAAAATTGACATGTAAAGGGGTAGCATTGTTTTGTTATTCCCAACCAATAACATAATGACACATGAAAAAATTATACTACGTATCATTACTGTAACAACTCATACCTTAATTAATATTTAATTAATAATTTAATAGAGGAAAAGACAATTATACCCTTAGAATATTTTATTAGGTTTTTTAAGTTGACTTTTTGACAAGGAAGGAATTTTGGAAATCCACTTGTACTGTTGCGTAGAGCACGACAAAACAAGTCCGTAGACACGTAGTGGACTCAAATCGGACTTGTAACGAAGAAATTACGAGCAAAATACGTAAAAAAGGCATAATTGAAATTTTGGAAAAAGTCAGATTTTTTTTTAAAACCAGACTTCTTCTCTCTCTCCTCACTCTCTCTCTCTCCCCCGACTGTGCTCCAGCCGACCACCACCACGCACGCCGGACAGGCCAAGAATGAACCGGCGCCACCTCCCCCAGCCGTCCGACGCCTTCCCCGACCGTCAGCAGCACGGGTCTCGCCGGAAAACCATGGTTTTCGGCCAGATTTTCTCCGAATTTCCAAACCCTCGTTCTCCTTCCTCCGGCCACCAAATCGGACGAATTAGGTATGGTTTTTCGACTGATTTTCATGTTCTAGCTGATGGTTGGGTAGGTTTTGAAAGATTTTGAGGTTTGATAGGTTAATTGTTGAGTTGAAATTCTGCCGACTTTGAGAGCTCAGTTCCAGCCGTTTCCGGCCCCTTTTTGGC